GCCTCCGCGTGCCCGGCCCCGCTCGCCCGTGCCCGCCGCCCGTCTGCCTGCCTGCCTGCCATGCCCGGTTTCGACTACAAGTTCCTGGAGAAGCCCAAGCGGCGGCTCCTGTGCCCGCTGTGCGGGAAGCCCATGCGCGAGCCCGTGCAGGTTTCTACCTGCGGCCACCGCTTCTGCGACACCTGTCTGCAGGAGTTCCTCAGGTGCGGGACTCCCGGGAGTAGGGGGGACGGCGGGGATGGGAGGGACACCTGGGAGGGGCCCAGGCCGGAGGCACGCCGGGCCTTTGTCTGATCCATGACCTCAGGGGGGCTTACTGTGACGTCACGAGGGGCGGCGGTGACGTCCGGGCCCTGGGAGTACCCTGGGCCCTATTCCGTAGTGTCCTGGGCAAGGTCTGCTTTCCGAGCCAGGTCGGAAGAACTCAGTGTCTTCCCGTAGGGTGGAGATGGGGAAAGACGCCCTTCCTGACCCGCGGCCGTCCCTTCCCCCTCACCTGAGAGGGAGAGCGGCCTCACCCTTGAACTTTGAATCGTTCGGGGGAAAGGACAAAACAAAAACTCTTCTGTATGGCATCTTAAGCCTCCGAGTTTACAGCCGTCTAACCGCTTCTGATTCTTCGAACATTCCGGGAACGGCAGCTATTGTTCTCCCATTTCATAGATGGTCAAACAACAGAATCAAAGAAAGGCTGCGACTTGCCCAGGGTCACAGAGTTACTTAATGGCTTAAGTGAGATTTAAAGCTGGCCGCTTGTGTTCGCACAATGCGAAAGACTGAGTCTACAACCTTCCCCTGAAGCATGAACCCTTTGAGTGTCTCTCGCCTCTCCTCTCCCCAGGGAGGTTTTGAGTACTGCGGATGATTAATATGTCTCGTTAAGGAGGGGGTTATAGCCTGGGTATTACAGAACGCCCCCTGCCCTCTCAGGACGCAGGTCACCCCTTGTTTCTTGGGCATCCTTTGAGTTTCTGGGCGCCCTGTTGTGTCTTGAACCTCCTGGTCACGCTGGGCACTGCTCAGGATGGTGTTGGGGAGGCGAGATGAGGGAACCCCAACTCCTGGTGAGGTCGTGCCCCCCGCGCACAGAAGAAGGCTAGGTCAGCTACTGCCCACTGTCAGGAGGCTGTTTGCCGAGGTGATCGAGGGGCCCAGGCAGGGAGAGCATTTTGGGGGCTCCTGCTTTTAGTACTCCCTCCCTCTCGCCGTCCTCTGCAGCCCCTCACTTGCAGAAATCTCAGCAGGCCCTTTGTTTTGTGTTCCCCACAGCCGGCTCCTGCCCTCACATATGCTCCAGCGCAAGCTGTGCTGCCCCCTCCTCCCCTTCCCTCGCCCTCTCCCTCCTCCCTCCAGTGTACACACTTACTCCCCTACAGACACACAGTCCCATTGTCTTCTCCAGTGCCCTTCCCCAGCCCTCTGGTTTCCAGATGAGGCCAGCTGAGCCGCCCCCCGCCCCCCCCCCCCCAGCGCAGCTGACCCACCCTGACTGCCTCAGAGAAGGGGAGGAGGGGGCTGTCAGGTTTTCCTCCACCCCCTCCTCTGCCCGTCTCTTGACTGCTCCTGCCCCTCCCCCTCCCGGAAATCCCCCTCTTCCTCTCCCACAGAACCCTCCCCCCCATCCTGTCTTCTCCCCTGGGCCTCCACCATGCAGCCTTGAGCAGCCCCTGCCCCTGCCTCTCCTCCTCCCCCACCTCCAGCTATGCTGATGAGGCACCCGCTGATGCCCTTACTGCCTGGCCTGGCTTTTGGGCAGGCTCTGCCCCTCACTACTACCCTCTACAACCAAGGGTATCCGTAGCTCTGGCCCAACCTTTGTCCTGGCTGGGCCCCAAGCTGCCCAGGCTAAGCTTCTGCCTGCAGCCTGGGGACTTGCCTGAGTCCTCTCCCTGTATCCAAAACCACTAAGCCAGCACATTCCTGAAGCAGCCAAGTGGGCCCCTCTTCTTGACCAACCCCACCTTCCCCACTCCTGCCAGGGCCCGTGAGGCTGGTTGCCTGTGAGCATGAGCACATCCCTTCAGTGCCTGGGCATGCATTGTTCTTGGCATCGGTGGCATGGCCAGTGGTGGTGGGGTCAGGGGGAGGAGGTAGTGCTAAAATCCTTTGGGCCCCTGAGGCATAGACTGCCCAGGCCCTGGAAAGTGTCATTATGGACAAGGCTGCCGTGTGGCCTCCGCTTCTGCCTTGATCCCTGCCTGCTACCACCTACCTGATTCAGACCTGCCAGGAAGGCCATGCCCGAGGGCTCTCAGTCCTGCCAGGTGAGCCCTCGCCCTGTCTGGGCCTTGCCAGGCATGTGTGACTGGTCCCGGCTGGGGTCAGCAAGGCCATGTTGGCATGAGGAGGCATGCCAACAGGCTCCTTGGGTACTAACAGCCTGGTGGAGATTGGTGGAGAAGAGGGAGGGCAGCTGCCAGGGTCACCAAGCTTCGGATTCGTACTAGGCACTGAGCAGAGTCCTGGCTCTGCTTGCGGGACATTTTTTTCTTGCCCCTGCCTCCTGCTATGTGGTGTGGTAGAGCCCACATGAGCTGTGCAATCAGACATACCCAGGTGCTGCTTGATCTTTGAGCCTCATTTCTTTCACCTGCAGAAGGGACGGTCAGACCCTTCTCACAGGTGGGTGGGAGTGTAAACACTGCCTCTGAGCATGCCTTTCATGCCCTTTGCTTTAGGAGACACACCCTCATGGGAGGAGGGAAGGGGTGGGGGGAGGTGGCCCCAAGATGACCTTTGCCCTGGTTCTTGGCTGGGCACCCTCATGGGGGCTGGGCAGCCCTGGCACTTACCTCAGCCCATTCTGTTCTCCCTCCCCCTGGGCTCTCTGCGCAGCCAATGGGAACTAACCTGGGAGGAGGGGGTAGCTGGGCAGCCTGTTCTTTTCCTAGTCCAGCTGCCATCCTGGGGGGAGGGGTGCCAGCTGCCACCTGTTGGCCAAATGCTGCCTGAAGCAGCTGTCTTTGCCCCCATTGGGCCCAGGACCCTCCTTCCCTGGACGAGGAGCTGGGACCTTCTGGGGTAGTGGGGAAATGGGTGCCCTGAGGCCTCTGCATGCCCTTTTGTCTCAGGTGTGGCTGGTTGGGAACCGGTCGGGTAAGGGGTAAGGGAAGGAGAGGCTGCCCAGGTTGAGGGGGTGGGGCCCAGGGCTCTCCCTTCCCATAGTGTGGAGACTTGACCTTGTCCCCTCCTCCTTTACAGTGAAGGAGTCTTCAAATGCCCTGAGGACCAACTTCCTCTGGACTATGCCAAGGTGAGTCCACAGTGCCAGGCAGAGGCCCAGGTGCAAGATGTTGCCCTTGGTGGAGGCTGGCACAGGCTCAGGGCCAATGTCAACCCAGTTGAGTTGTGCATCCCCACAAAGGTGGGCCTGTTCCCTCCCACCAGGCCAGTCTGCAGACGGAGGCCCGTGTTTGCTGTGAAGGGCAGGCACAATGCCCAGCCTATGGGGTGCACAGAGCTGCTCTGTGCCCACAAGAAGTGCTCCCTTCCCCTTCTGGTGGCAAGCCAGACCGTGGCTGAGGGCCAGGACCCCTCCAGCAGCAGGGGGGCAGGAGCTGGACAGTGGGCCGCCTGGGACTGATCAGGCTGATTGGCTCCTGCTTCAGAGGGAGTGTGTGTGCAGCCGTGTTGGGGACCCTGAGATCCGGAGCAGGCACCACCTGCCATGCCCTTCATCCCTGGGCACAGAGAGGTGAATAGCCCAAGCATGGCTATTACTGGCTCCAAGGTAGAGCCAGCCTAACTGGGGGGAAGAGGAGGAGGGGAGGATGTGGGGAACTGCAGCAGGCTTCTGACCCTGACCAGCTCCCCCCCACCCCCCAATCCCTGCCCCCAGATCTACCCAGACCCTGAGCTGGAAGTACAGGTTTTGGGCCTGCCAATCCGCTGCATCCACAGTGAGGAGGGCTGCCGTTGGAGCGGGCCACTTCGCCACCTACAAGTGAGGCTCTGGGCTTGTGGGGTGGACTACCCAGCCCTTGGCAGGCACTCACTGCAGCCCTTCCCACCAGGGCCACCTGAATACCTGCAGCTTCAATGTAGTCCCTTGCCCCAATCGCTGCCCCACCAAGCTGAGCCGCCGTGATCTGCCTGCACACTTGCAGCACGACTGCCCCAAGCGTCGCCTCAAGTGCGAGTTTTGTGGCTGTGACTTCAGTGGGGAGGCCTATGAGGTCGGTGGGTCCTGGCTGAGGGTGAGGGAGGATGGGGCAACTGGTGACCCAGGATCCCTTAGCTCAGCTCCTCTGGCATTTCCACAGAGCCACGAGGGTGTGTGTCCCCAAGAGAGTGTGTACTGTGAGAACAAGTGTGGTGCCCGCATGATGCGGCGGCTGCTGGCCCAGCATGCCACCTCTGAGTGCCCCAAGCGCACACAGCCTTGCACCTACTGCACCAAGGAGTTCGTCTTTGACACCATCCAGGTGAGGCCCTTCCTGGGCTGTGGGCTGCAGGGCAAGTAGCAGGGAGTCAGACTACTGACTGCTGCCTCTGCGCCTCCAGAGCCACCAGTACCAGTGCCCGAGGCTGCCTGTGCCCTGCCCCAACCAGTGTGGTGTGGGCACTGTGGCTCGGGAGGACCTGCCGGGCCATCTGAAAGACAGCTGTAGCACTGCCCTGGTGCTGTGCCCATTCAAAGACTCCGGCTGCAAGCACAGGGTGAGACGTCTCTTTTTCCATCAGCCTCCTCCATCAGCCTCCTCCCTGGCCCTTGAAGCCTCAGATATAGGCTATGCTTCCTGATGCAACGTATGCCCTTGGTGGTCCCTATTATGCTACTCTGAAGCCTTCAGTCCTTCCCTCTGCTGGCCAGCACCAGGCCCCTCCTAGTGCCCTCCATCTTTCTCATTCAGACGTTATCTGCCACCCTGTACCCACTCCTCCCCTCTCCCCTGGGCCTGCCCCCACTGATAACTTGCCTTCCTTTCCCCCTGCTTGTGGCTTTGCACACAGTGCCCTAAGCTGGCAATGGCACGGCATGTGGAGGAGAGCGTGAAGCCACATCTAGCCATGATGTGTGCCTTGGTGAGCCGGCAACGGCAAGAGCTGCAGGAGCTGCGGAGAGAGCTGGAGGAGTTATCGGTGGGCAGCGATGGCGTGCTCATCTGGAAGATTGGCAGCTATGGGCGTCGGCTACAGGAGGCCAAGGCCAAGCCCAACCTGGAGTGCTTTAGCCCGGCCTTCTACACACATAAGTATGGCTACAAGCTGCAGGTGTCTGCTTTCCTCAATGGCAACGGCAGTGGCGAGGGCACCCATCTCTCACTCTACATTCGTGTGCTGCCTGGCGCCTTTGACAATCTCCTTGAGTGGCCCTTTGCCCGCCGTGTCACCTTCTCCCTGCTGGATCAGAGTGACCCTGGGCTGGCTAAGCCACAGCATGTCACTGAGACCTTCCACCCTGACCCAAACTGGAAGAACTTCCAGAAGCCAGGCACTTGGCGGGGCTCTCTGGATGAGAGTTCTCTAGGCTTTGGTTATCCCAAGTTCATCTCGCACCAGGACATCCGAAAGCGAAACTATGTCCGGGATGATGCAGTCTTCATCCGTGCCTCTGTTGAACTGCCCCGGAAGATCCTCAGCTGAGGGCAGGCAGGGCTTGAGGTGAAAATGGGGGTGGGACATAACCTCAGTCGGGCACTAGGTGAATCTGGAGAGGGGGCCGGACCCCCTTTTAGCTGCTCCTGCTGCCGAGGTTCTGTTACTCTATTCTCCTCCCTTGGTCCCCCATTCCCTACCACCCTCAGGTGCCTCCAATTGGTGCTTCAGCCCTGGCCTCTGGGGGGAGCAGGTCTTGGGGTCAAGGGCTGGAAACAAGCGATCCCAGGGCCTGTCTCCCCACTTCGGCAGGGCAGACATACCTTGGTGCCGGCCACACTCTACTAGGGACTGAGTGCCTGCTGGTACTGTGTCCCAAGAGCCATAAGTGGGGGAGGGGGTTGGGAAAGGGAGGGGTAGTTAAGAATCTGTCTTGAGCTCTGATTTCTTCCCCTTTCCCCAGCTGTGCCCCCTCTGGTTATTTATTTGCTTAGTGACAGAAGGGCACAGCAGGGGAGCTCTGATTTTTAATAAATCCTGAATTGTATTTATTAACTTGGTTCCAGTCTGATTCATCTGGGTTGCAAATCCATTGCCATCAAGTCGGTGCCAACTCAGTCACCCTGCAGGACAGAGTAGAACTGCCCCACTGGGTTTCCAAGGTTGTGATCTTTACAGAAGCCGACTACCACATCTTTCTCCCATGGAGCAGCTGGTGGGTTCAAACGGCTGACCTTTCGGTTAGCAGCTTGCGTTTTAACCACTGCTCCCCCAAGGCTCCTCTGGGTTGGTTTTAAAAAAAAAAAAAAAAAACCCATTTCCATCCAGTCCAACTCGTAACGACCCTGTAGGGCAGAGTAGAACCGCCCCATAGTTGCCAAGAAGCGGCTGGTGGATTCGAATTGCCAACCTTTTGGTTAGCAGTCGTAACTCTTCTTATTAACCACTATGCCACCAGGGTTATTAGTTAGGGCCCTATAAAGCTAGGCCCAACTTTAAAGGCAGGAGGACCAGTCAGGGAAGGGCTGCTGCCGCTCTGCTGAATGACCCTCTGGTGGCCAACAGGGAAACTACATCAGGCTTTGTGTGAACGACAGTCTCCTGCTGCTGCCCACTGGTGGTTAGATGGGAGGTGCAGGGTCCGGACATTGTATAAAGCAGGAGTCCCTGATGCACCTCCCACCAAACTGGAGCCTTTGCCTTAAGCAGGTCTTTCCTTGGTCTAATAACAAGAGCTACTATTCATTGAGCACTTTCATGTGGCAGATACTGCTAAGCACTTTTAATGCATTATTTCATTTACATTAATGGCCAAGTGAAGTAGCTTTTATCACCATAGTAAAAGGACCTATCTTAGTGGGCTGTAGTGAAGATTTAATGAGACAATACGTATTCCTGGCACAGAACAAGTGCTTATGAATGTTAGTCTAACTCAAATGCCCGGCCCACAACCTTCAAGTTTACAAGGCACTTGGGTTTTCTCATCCATGATCTTACCCATTTTACCCATGAAACAGGAACAAAGGGATGGATGGACTTAACCAGTGAACCTTCAGCTGGTTTGGGGCAGGACCTGGATTCTGTTTTAACCTCACTGCTTGTTTTTGGCAAGTTATTTAGTTCCATGGGGGCATCAGTACCCTCGTTGGTAAAATAAGAGTAATCCTGCCTACCTGCTAGATTTGTTGAAAGATTAAATGAACTAATCAGCATAAAGTACCTTATTCTTGCCTAGTCCTAGAAGGGGCCCCATGGATGGGACCTGTTATGTAGTAAGGGGAAGGTTCAGGGGCTGCATGTAATTCTTGTCTTCAATCCTCCCACACAGAGACTGGGGTCAAGGTGACTGGAGAGGCTGAGCCTAAGACACCCAGCCTGGGGACTCTTCACCAGCCCAGTCTTCAGCGGGTAAAATTCACGGATCTAGTGGGAGATGGAGCTCTGGCTTCCTTGCTGACAAAGTAGAGAAAGGCTCCTTCACCAGACAAAACCTGTCTTGGTAGAAGTGAAGCCTGGAGACTGGGTAGGAACGGGAAAACCCCCATGGGCTCTGAGGAAATGCCTTCACTTCAGCTCCAGCCTTAGACAACACAGGTGGACCCAGTCTTCCAAGAGAAACCTTATATCATATATAAGCCTTATATATATGTCTACCGTATATCAAGCTTGGCTCCCTCTGCTGCCAGGACTGCACCACTGCACAATCCCAGGCAGCACAGTCACATAGAACTCTGAATGGTGCTTCCTAGAGTTGTATACACTAATGGGACCTTGCAGTCGACCCCATATCCACAGACAGGCCAGGCCACTCATCTGAAAACCTTTGCAGGCAGTCATTACTCTGTGGAACTCACAGGCCAGGTTCTGCATCAAAGTGTGAGCTGGACTCCCCAAGTGTCTGAGCCTAGGACTCATTCACTCAGGAGGCAGAACTGGGTTCCATGACTTTGGCTCACCTGTTTGCTCTGTGACCTTTGACTGACTGCAAGTCTCAGCTGACACAGGCAGAAGGAGCTTTCTTTCACAGCAGTAGTATGAGGTGGCAAAGCATTTTCACAAAGGAGCACCTCACAGAAGAAGGCATACTGAGAAGGGGAGTGTACTTTGAACTCCATCAGCATTCAGGGAGCTCATGCTACCAAGGATCTCTGATTCCACCTTCCCTGAATTCCACATCCTTTGGAATCCTTCCTTCCCTCCATCACGTTAGCCCAAACTCAAACTTGGCAGAATGGGGTAGGGTAACTGAAATAGTTCTTTTGGATTTTTTTCCCTGCAGACAAAAAGGGCGGAAGTTCTCTAATACTCGTAGTACATGAGAAGCAGCTTCAAGTAACAGGGGCCAGTTTTCATGTTACAGATTACAGCAGCTATTACCTCCATTTCTGTCAAAGGCCCTCAGAAATTCCAAGGGTTGGAGGCAGGAGAAGGGGAGGGAAGTATAAAGTCTTAGGTTGACTTATCAAACCAGATCCCCCTTTCTCAAACAGCAATGAGGGGCAACAAACCATACTTACACATGCAATCCCACACCAAGCCCCTGGCAGCCCTGTCTGGGGAAAGGGCTCCTAGGTACCCTCTTTGGTGGGGGAGAGGGAAGGGTTGACTGAACTCCTGTCTACCCAAGACCCTACAATCACCGGAGAATCTAGTCTGGGATAATGGACCAGAGAGGACTTCTGGATGGGATCAATACCATACAGGCACCCTGCTTAAAAATGAGGAATTACTCCCCTTCTAGCAAACGAGACATGTTAGAAACTGTTATCAGAAAAATCACCTGTGGAAAATCACAGCATTAAACGAATAGGACAAGGTCAAAAGGTGAGGTTTTTTTCTTTTTTACTGGTTTATAATAATCTTAAAAACCCATCATACCCATAAACCACCACAGGTGAGAAAGTGAGGGAGATGGAGAATGAATGCTACAGTATGTGGATAGAGTGGGGAATCCAGGTATTCCCTCAGGGTAGTGTGGGATGAAGGCAGGGAGTGTGGACAGGAGGCCCTAGCTTGGACCCTTATTGCTGGCTGGGGGTTGGTTGGTGGAGGGGGAGGGGCTCAGGTTGAATTAGGAAACATCTCACACCAAAGGTGAGGGCAGTGGGGGTGGGGGAAACCACAGTACATTATCCATGCAGGCTAGGGGTGGGAGTGAGAGCTTCAGAGACTTGCACCCCCTACACAGGAAGAGATGGGTTTGAGGTTGTCTGACTTAAAGCCCCCAAGTTGGTGTCTGGTCCAATTTCCTAAAATGGCAGCCCACCTTGCGGGGAGAGGCATTGAAGAAAAAAAATTACAGCAAAAACATGTGGTTTGGAGATCAAGTGAGGGAGAAGGGGAGATAGTGGTGCTCTTTTAAATCTGACTCAGAGAAGCAGGAATCATCGGAAGGGGACCCTGGGTGAGAAGGTGGCTAACACCCTGGGAGAAGGCATTGACTGCACCAGAAGCTACAGGTGCTCCTGAGGGCTCAGGGACAGGAGGTACCAGTGTTCACAGACGGCAGGAAAACAATTGGGAACAATAAATTAGGACTTCATGTTGCTATCATTTGGCATAACACAATCAGGCATTTTTTTCCTTTTTTCTTTTTTTTAAATATAAGGCAACTTGCCAACACATAATTTAAAAACTGGTCTTCAGTCACATTGCTTCAGATCACTAAAGAATTTCTGGCTAAAGAACAGTGGATAGTATACTGAACAAAATCCAAAATCTTTAAAAAAAAAAAAAAAAAAAAAGGCCAAGAATGCATCTTTAACAGAAGGGTGCAAAAATTTACAACAAAACATAATCTAAGTTTAAAGTTACAGAAAAGTTTAAATCTCTAGCCAACTAGTTGTCATTTGGGAATGATACGTTGAGCATGGAGTGGGTGGGGGTGTGCTATAAGAAGGAGCAGGAGGGGCTGTTTCCAATGTAGGCCCATCTCCAGTGGTTAGAACCATGCTCATTTGGTAAAGGAATAATTCAAAGAGCTTAAGGCTTTGTTTTTTTTTTTTCTTTCCTTTCTTCTTTTAACTTGAGGGGCTGCGACAGGAGGTGGCTAGACGATGAATGTACCTGTGGGGCCACTCATACACAATACTACTCAAACCCACACTACATTCATACAGAAACATTTAAAACTTACAGTGTAGAGTGTTATGGATTGAATTATGTCCCCCAAAAATATGTGTTATAAATCCTAACCTCTATGCCTATGGTGTTGGCAAAGAATATTGAATATACCATGAACTGCCAGAAGAACAAACAAATCTGTCTTGAAAGTAGTACAGCCAGAGTGCTCCTTAGAAGTGAGGATGGCGAGACTTCGTCTCACTTACTTTGGACGTTATCAGGAGGGACCAGTCCCTGGAGGACATCATGCTTGGTAAAGAAGAGGGTCAACAAAAAAGAGGAAGACCCTCAAGGAGATGGATTGACACAATGGCTGCCACAATAGGCTCAAACACAGCACGGTGAGGATGACGCAGGACCAGGCAGTGTTCTGTTCTGTTGTACATAGGTTCGCTGTGAGTCAGAATTGACTCTGAGGGCACTAACAACAACAACATGCCTGTGGTTATAATCCCATTTAGGAATGGGTTGTCTTTGTTATGTTAATGAGGCAGGATTAGTGTAGGGTGTATCTTGAGTCAATCTCTTTGGAGCTATAAAAGAGATTAAACAAGCAAGCAAAGCAGAGATGGGGGAAGAGAGATGCCAGACCACATGAAGATCACCCAAGAGCAGAAGCTCAGAAGAGACAAGGACCTTCCTCCAGAGCCGACATAGAGAGAAAGCCTTCCCTTACAGCCGGCACCCTGAATTCGGACGTCTAGCCTCCTAAACTGTGAGAAAATAAATTTCTGTTAAAGCCATCCACTTGTGGTATTTCTGTTATAGCAGCACTAGATAACTAAGACATAGAGCAATATTCTTAGCCAGTGTAGACAAAACCAAATGCTTTTTTTTTTTTTTTTGGTGTTTTTGACTCCAATGTGATCATCCCTTACCTACCTAATTCCTCAGTGAAGGTAGTTTTTTGTTTTCTTGAGGAGGGGTTGGGA